AATTCAACATTAAAGTTTCTTTATTTAAAATAAATAATTTTCAAAATATACCAGTATAGTCGGCCATGTCCGACTATACTTTCCTACTTGTTATACCCTACTCCACTTTAGTGGGGAGGGTATATTGGGTTTGTGCTGATGTTGATGATCATACACAAATATTCGTCCTATACCCACCTTTAAGTATACCAATCGGCTTAGAATCGTTTTCTGAGTCGATTAAGCTATGTCCGTCCGTCTGGCTGGCTGTCCATGTAAACCTTGTGCCCAAGGTACAGGTAGCAATTTTCGATATACAGAGAACTCTCGATAATGTGAACTAATTAATGTCGGGTAAGTTCATATTTTCGAATTTGTTCACATTTTCGATTGTGATTTTATATATATATATATTACTAAGTTATTCTTTCTAAAAATCATTTCTGCAAGGAATGAAAATGCAAAGATTACTAAATTTTTTTTTTTGTAATTTATTTGGAACATAAAAAGTTTTTAAAAATAAAAATACAAATAAATAAAAAACCAACAAAATAGTACGACAAAAAAATAAATAAAATTTACAATGAAAAAAGATAGGTACATACATAAATATATTATTAATCGGTTATTTTTTTCTGTTTTTTTTTTGTTTGACCGGCTTATTTACCGCCAATTCCCTGATTTTTTTCAATACTTTAATGTCAGTTAAATCTAATATCTAATGTTTACAGCAGTAAATACTTCCTGAGGGCACAATGTCTGTAGAAGATCTGCAGCAGTATTTTCTAAAGATCTAACCTCTGATTGCCACTTTTCTTTTAAAACGCTCAAAGGAACATTAAATTCAGGATCGTCTTCATAATTTACCATATTCAAAATATTTTTCCAACAGTTAGATAAAGTTTCTTTACTAACTCGGTTCCAGGATGCCTCTAGAATAGAAACTCCTTCTTTAAGTGTGATTTTTTCATCGATTCAAGCAAATCCCCCTCTTTTGCTAAGAGGGGACTGTTCCTACACTGAAAATAAATCCATGCTTACTTTACGAAAAAAAATTTCGTAACTTCTATTTTCGTAATATTTACAAAAATTTCGTGTATAATACGAAATATTATTTAATAATGATATTAATTAAATTATCATTAAATAAACTACAACATTTTTATACAATTTAAGAAAAAGTATAATATTATTCACAAATTATTTTCATAAAAAAAATTTCAAAATTCGTGTGGAGAATAATTTTGAACTAAAATTAGAAAAATTATTTTAAAATGAACAAAAATGTTTGCATAAATTAATATTTGGTAAATTTTACCATATGTTATTTAAAATTCACTTTTTTTAATTTATGTAAATTAATTTTCAAAGATTATTTTGCATTATACTAAAATATTTCGTACAATTTCGTATATATTACGAAAGAATTTCGTGGTGCGAAACAACGAACGATTCGTACAATGTACGACATTTTTCGTATATATTAGGCATGAATTTTTTTCAGTGTATAATGAAGTTTGGTGATTCTAATTGGATTTTGATCCATTGGCTGGATCAGAGCCGTTACATTTGGAGGCATGAACATAGCTTCTATGGAACCATCCTCGGATTTAAGGTAGGATTCTGGTGGATAGCATGGGGCTTTATCTATTAGGAGTAAAGCTTTTACTGGTAATCGTTTCTTCTTTAAAAATCTGTCACGGTGAATGAAAAATAAAACAGTAAGAATCCCAATTGAACTATTTTTTACATGTTTACTTACCTCTGGCACAAAACAGTTGTGAAACCATTCTTTAAAAATGGAAGAAGTCATCCACGCAGAATTTCTGTAGTTTACGGGACAGATAAAACTTTTAAAACTGCGAGGATTTTTCGATTTTCCTATTACTAAAAGTTTTATTTTATGAGATCCTGATGCATTTGCACAGCATAAAAATGTTATTTTTTGCTTTTCCATTTTCGCACCTGGAGCGCTTTTCTCCAATGACGTTACATATGTCTTTTGTGGCAGAAGTTTCCAATATAGACCAGACTCATCGGCATTATACAACTGATCACTAGATAAACCCAATCTTCTATCTTTGCTTTCAATTTAATTTTAAAAGGATTTACGAACTGAGATTGCGCAGAAAGTTTTTCACCGCTTATCTGAAGGAAACGAATTCCGTATCTCTTTTTAAATTTTTGTAGCCACCCATCGCTAGCATTGAAGTCATTTCCGTTTCACTTATGTTTTTGTGAATTTGTTTGGCTTTCTCTTTCAACATCAACCCACTTACAGGGAGGTTTTTATTCAGCATACAAATAAACCACTTATAGAGCGATTTTTCCATTTTTAGAAGCTCTGAAGATCGTAATGTTTTGCGTTTTCCGGGTCATAAAACGTATTGTTCACACATTTTAAAATATTGTCTTTTTTATTTTTTATTGAACATATCGTTGATTTTGCAACTTTTTACTTAACACTGTAACACTCGATCCTTTTTTTAAATATTTCAAAATTTCGCATTTTTCATTTAAGGATAAAAACTTTCGACTGTTTTTAGACATCACTAATTTTAAAAATAAATTCACGAACCTACCGCAACAAGTTTCATAATGCTACTAGCATTAAATACCTTCAAAATAATGGCATACTATGGTATTTCTTAATTCGGGGATTCCCAACATTAAAAATAAATGTTTCTCTTTAACAACGATCAACGATCTCTTCTACAAAGTCCCCTTCAGAAAATTACTTGAATGTCCAAAATTAACTTATAAACACAAATATTGCGATGAAATTCATCACAAAAAAATATTATGTAAATATAAATATATTCCCAAAATTTTATCGAGCTTGGTTCATATTTGCCTCTAGCCCCCATATAAAGCCTTTTTCAGAAAATGAGTTTCTCATCCATAATTGCTTAAATGTATCGGAACAAGGTAATAGAGGATAAATGCTTTATTATGAAAAATAAATCAGATTTACTATTTGTTTGTGTCTGTCTAGTGTAACACATAGTTTATATTTTCTCTATGTGTAAAATCGCTAGAACAATATGCATTGTATGGCAACTCCCCACTTTAGTGTGGTGAGTTTGCGTTGCTCTTTATGTCAAGGGCTTGACACATTTTTTTTTATTCTCATTGCTTTTCAACCACCGGACAGACAACAAATGCAAAATTAATAAAAGAAATTGAAATAAAATAAAAGTTAAGAATTAAAATAAAATTAAAGTTTAATTAAATAAAACAAAAGGAAAAGTGAACTTAAATAAAATAAACAGAAATACAAACCAAAAGAAGTAAACAAAGCTTTTTAATAAAATAAAAATAAGGGTTGTTTTTGGCAACACAACAACAAGTGTTTGTGTGTATATAAAAACACATTTGGCCCTGACCTGCCGCATCAAGAGAAAACCAAGTGGACGGCTGCCGGAGACAGTTTGCCAACAACCAGCACCTAGGAACCAGCTCAGCATCTAAGAGGTAATAACCGGGATTCCCGATTTGGCCCCAAACATTGGTCCTTCGCCCGTAGAAAAAAAAGGTGCGTAAATTGAAATTATTAAAGTGCAAAGTGTTTCATATGCATATATTGTGGTTCATTATTTGTGGCTCGGAAAAAGTGAGGTTGTGTAACTTTTTGAAATTACATCGTGAACTTTTACATTAAGCCGCCATTTTTCCTTACGGTCATTTGTATTTGTTGTTTTATTTTTGGAACCTAAATAAATTTGTCGTCCATCTTTTTTCTCAAGTTTTTAAACTTATTGGAAATTGTGATTTTGGCGCATTTTAACTTAGTGGTTCTCTTTAACTCTTTTATTGGAAAATAAAGTTTTGTGGTTCTCTTTAACTTTGTATGGTGTTAAAAAACTTCAGTTTCTCTTTTCAATTCTTGATTTTATTTAAAGAAGTTTGTGACTCTGTGATTTATTTTAAATTTTTGGGAAAATATATTTTTGTGGTTCTCTTAAATAAATTAAAATATGTCGATTTTTGAAAAATACATAGTGGCTGCGGATGAATTAATCAGCTTTGAGGTTATGCTTAAAGCTGAAGATTTTTCTAGTTATACGGACGATGCTTTGATTTTGAAAGATCAGAATTAGATAAATCATGGGAAAATTATAAAAGCATTTATAGTGATTGTTCTGATGTCACAATAGAAAAAAAGAAAGAATTGTTAATGGTACAAACAAAGCATCCGCAGGTCCGCAAGACATATATAAGATGTATAAACATTATTTCCAAAGCAAAAGCAAACTTAGGTAAAAAAACTGAAGAAAATGTAGAATCAGCAGTTCCCAATCTTTGTGGTTCCATATCCGTACCTCCTTGTGATACTGGTGTTTTTCATGGGGATTACGTTTCGTGGCCCACATTTAGAGATATGTTTACTGCGATTTACATAAACAATACAAGACTTAGCCCAGTAGAAAAGTTATTTTACTTGTTCAGAAAAACTGATGGTGAGGCTAGAGATATAAATAGGAAAAATTTTGAAATTGCATGGAAAAATCTAATAACTCAATATGAAAATAAACGTGTATTAATAAATAGTCAATTGAAAATATTGTTTAATCTGACTCCCTGTAATCAAGATTCAGCATCAGAGATAAAAGACTCCAAAGAGAAATCAACAATTGTATGGCAATTTTAAAATTGTATAATGTTGATATTGGTTCATGGGATCCGATATTTGTGTTTCAATGCTCTTCGCGCTTATCTGAATGTTCACTGAATCTTTGGGAACAATCGGTTAGAAATAAAACAGAGGTTCCCAAATGGGAAGAATTAAACAATTTTTTAACAGATAGATTTCATGCTCTAGAAAGCGTTTCTGATATTATATCCTCGAATAATACGCATCCCAGTGGTTCCCAATCGGCACTTAATAGTAACAATAACCATACATCAACTAAAGTAAAACAATTTAAGGCCCATAATACTAAAGTTGAAACCATTTTTTGCAAATTATGCAAAGAAAACCATAAAATCAGCTCCTGTACCAGATTTTTGAATATGGATTATAGAAATCGTGTTTCAACTTTGAAAAAATTTCGTTATTGTTTTAATTGCCTCAACATTGGACATATGTATGGTGATTGTAGTAGCACAAACGGTTGCTCCAAGTGCAAAAGGAAGCACCATACTTTAATGCATAGGAATTTTGTAAATAAAAACAATAATAGCCAAAATCAAGGAAATACTAGATTTCAGGGCGAAAGTCAAAATAGTTCTGTCCAACAAATACAGTCCACAAATACAAATCAATTACAGTCCACTAATATCGCAGGTCCGTCTGGTGTTGTTCAGTCACATCACACATCAGTAGCTAAGAAAGTGATGTTGGCTACAGCTTGGGTCAATATAATTAGTTGTGGTTCCTATTACAAAGTTCGAGCACTCATAGATCCTTGTTCGGATGAAAGTTTTGTTTCTCAGAGAATACAAACTGTATTGAAGTTGCCCACTAAGCCAGTTTCCGCAGAAATTACTGGTTTAGGAGGAGAATTAGTAAGCAAATCTTCAAAGATTGCGAACTTTATAATTGTTTCTCTGTTTGATCATAATGTATCTCTAAATATTCAGGCGTTAGTAGTTCCTCGTGTAACAGGGAATGTACCTACACATTCATTTAAGCCACAAAAGAATACAGATTTGCCCAATCTGAATTATGCTGACCCTAAGTTTTATGAAAGTAGCGAAATAGACTTATTGTTAGGAGGAGATTTGTATCCCCTAATTCTTCGTGATGGAGTTCAACATGGAATTTTCGAATCTTTAGTGGCCCAAGAGACAATTTTTGGCTGGATTGTCACAGGCCCAACTCCAAGTAATGATTCCTCACGTTTTTCAATAACCAATTATATGACAAAAGTTTCCATTGACGATCAGTTAACAAAGTTTTGGGAGTTAGAAGAAGTTTCTCGTAGAAAGATTTTATCAGAAGAGGATAAAAAATGTGAAGAGATCTATCGTTCTACTACCACAAGAAATTCTGAAGGAAGATATATAGTATGTTTGCCCTTTAAAGATACTTTTTCGTCACTTGGCCCAAATCGTCATATTGCTCTTAGTCAATATTTAAGAAATGAAAAGGTTTTAATGCGAAATCCTGAATTTAAGGCTCAATATGATGAGGTCCTAAAAGAATACATAGCTTTGGGACATATGGAAAAATTACAAATTCTGAAAGTAGCTCAAGTTATTACTTACCTCATCATGGAGTTTTTAAGCCTGACAGTACCACTACAAAGTTAAGAATTGTTTTTAACGCTTCAAGTGCTTCTTCTAATGGTAACAGTCTTAACGATTTGCTGTTTGTAGGCCCTATATTACAAGCTGATTTAGTAGCCCTAATTCTAAAATGGCGTTTCTTTCAGTTTGTCTTCAATGCAGATATATCTAAAATGTATCGACAAATTTTACTTAAATCTGAACATAGACAGTATCAGAAGATAGTTTTTCGTAGTTCTGGGGAAAATAAAATCGAAGATTATCAATTGAACACCGTCACTTTTGGCGTTAATTGTGCCCCATTTTTGGCCCTAAGAACGCTTTTACAGTTAGCTGACGATGAAGAACGATGTTTTCCGCTAGGCTCTAGAATTCTTCGCGAGTCAATGTATGTTGATGATGCTCTTGTTGGAGCTCATTCGATCCCTGATGCTTTGGAGGCACGAGACCAATTAATTGGTATATTGGGTACAGCTGGGTTTGAGTTGAGAAAATGGGCCTCAAACTCTAAACAAATTTTAAAAAATTTGCCCCAAGAGCATCTTCTTAACTCTTCTTTTTTGTCGCTCGATGATAAAAGTAATGCTAAAACACTCGGTGTCCGTTGGAATGCGGCAGAAGATTACTTTTATTTTACAACTGAGAAGATTAAGTTCAAAACAGCTTATACAAAGAGGGAAGTACTCTCAATTATAGCAAGGCTATTTGATCCAGCAGGTTGGTTGGCCCCAGTGATTATAACAGCAAAGATTTTGATGCAGCAAATGTGGCTCGACAAAATAGACTGGGACGAACATATAAAACCTGTGGCTCTACAAAAATGGAAGACATTCATTTCTAATTATAATGAGATTGATACAATTAAACTTGATCGTTGGGTTCAATATACGCCTAGTTCTTATATTGAATTTCATGGCTTTTGTGACTCTTCTGAGTTAGCTTACGCAGCTACACTATATATACGTATTGTGAATGGTGATAAAGTTTATGTAAATCTACTAATTGGCAAAACAAAAGTGGCTCCAGTTAAAAGGCCATCTTTGCCGCGTTTAGAGTTGTGTGGCGCAGTTCTTTTAGCCAATTTAGTAAACAGCGTAATCCCCAATTTCAAATTGCATACGTATAACTTATATTTGTGGTCCGATTCGACAATAGTTCTTGCTTGGTTACGAAAACCGCCATGTAATTGGAAAACCTTTGTGGCAAATAGGGTAGCAACAATATTAGAAAAAGTAGGAAACAAAAATTGGTTTCACGTAGCTTCTAATCACAATCCTGCCGATCTAGCAACCCGGGGGCTGATACCTTCGGATTTAAGAGAAAACAAACTTTGGTGGCATGGTCCTGATTGGCTCAGATTAAACAAATCGTCGTGGCCCGAAGGTCCATTAGAATTCGAAACAGTAGAAGAATCGAAACAAGTCCAAGTTAATATTGCTAGATCCGCTGAACGAGAAGATATACTGGACCGTTTCTCAAGTTTGCCCAGAGCATATCATGTTATTGCTTATATATTTAGATTTTTTAATCTTGCGAGCAAAAGCAGACGTAAAAGCTGTAATTACGAAACTGTTAGAATTTCGGCTCAAGAACTTGTATTTGTACGAAATCGGCTATTTTTTCTCTCTCAACAGTCGCACTTTTCTAGTGAGTTTAGTTGTTTATCATCGAAACGGAAAATTGACTCTCGTAGTTCTTTATTAACGCTTACGCCTTTCTTAGACAAAAATGGTATTATTCGTGCTAATGGTCGTCTTGGGTCTACAAAATGTTTGTCGTATAATGAACGTCATCCCATAATACTTGCTTATGGCAGTAGATTAGCACGTCTATACGTTGAGTTTGTCCACTATTTGGTCTTACATGGTGGCCCTCGTTTAGTCCTAAATGTCGTTCGTCAGGAGTGTTGGATTATAAAGGCTAAAAATCTAATAAAAACGGTCATCCACAACTGTAAAATCTGCGTTATACATAGAAAAAAGCTTCAAAATCAGATCATGGCAGTGCTACCTGAAGAAAGAACTACTTTAAGTCGCCCTTTTACTAACACAGGTGTTGATTTTGCCGGCCCATTTGAAATCAAAAGTTTCACTGGTCGATATTGCCGTATCACTAAAGGCTACGTGTGTCTATTTGTTTGTTTCTCTACTAAGGCGATTCACATTGAGGCCGTTAGCGATTTGTCCACTCCTGCATTTCTAGCAGCTTTGGCTCGATTTGTTGCTCGTCGTGGTTGCCCTAGTCGCATTTTCTCTGATAATGGAAGAAATTTTGTTGGCGCTGCAAGAGAACTTGAAAATAACTTCGAAAAACATATAGAAGAATTACGTGATTCGGCAGTAGAAAAATATGGTCATCAACATCTTGAGTGGCACTTTATTCCTGCAGCAGCTCCTCATATGGGAGGACTGTGGGAGGCAGGAGTAAAAAGTTTGAAAATGCACTTTAAAAAGTCAGCTGGACAAATGAAATATACGTTTGAAGAGTTTTCGACAATTTTGGCAAAGATAGAATCGTGTCTCAATTCGCGTCCTCTTGGCCCTACGTCCGACAGCATCGATGATTTGTCCGCTCTTACTCCTGGTCATTTTTTAATAGGCTCTGCTATTCTTACTCCTGCTGAACCTGAAGAGCTTAGCTCGCCAATTAGTATAGTAAACCGTTGGCGAAAAATCAAAGCATTGCAGCAAGAAATTTGTCACCGCTGGAAAGACGAATATTTAAAAGAGTTGCACAAGCGTAATAAATGGAAAAGTCCCCAAATAGACTTAAAAGAAAATGACCTCGTTGTTCTTAAAAGTGAACCTTGTTGTCCAACTGAATGGCGCTTAGGTCGTGTTGTAAAAGTTTATCATGGTTCTGACGGTAAAGTTCGAGTGGCTGACCTTAAAACTCAAAATGGCGTAATCACTCGACCGATACACAAATTAGTTTTACTCCCTAATTGCACTGATTAATAATTCAATATCACCTTTTCTAAAATAAAGTTGCTCATTTAAACTTCTAGATTAAAAAAAAAAAAAAAAAATGGACTTCAACACCGATTATGGTTGCCCGCTTTGTAATCGCCTTCACGCCATACGACAGTGTTCACGTTTTATTGTGATGCCCGTGGAGCTAAAGCTCCGAGTTGTTGCCCAAAACGTGTTATGTTATAACTGCCTGGCTCAGTCGCACAGCCGAGCGAATTGTAGAAGTATAGATCGGTGCCGTCGCTGTATGCAGGACCATAATACTTGGTTGCACCCTTTGCCGCAGGGCCGTATTTGGTTTCCCATGACAGCGTTGATACGGGTAGTCACCAATCATGATACTGACGTCTTCATTAGAGCATTAATAGATCCAACAGCGGCCAGGTCAGCAATCATGAAACGTGAAGTCGAAGAATTGGGCTTACGGATTTCTAAAGGACGTACTGACATCGTTGTATACCATCGTCGCGAGGAGAAACGTCGCATAACGGTTGAATGTATTTTAGAAGACAAGATTTACGGCCGTAGCCCTATTGTTAATGTGGAGCGAGCAGACAAATATCCACGTCCAACAACTGTAGACCGTGCCAATGCGGACGTGCACTGGCATATTAGTTGCCCTTACCAGCTTATCCTAGGAGCTAGGATACTATGAGCAGAATTCTGATTGGACCAGCTATGAGTCGCCCAGGACAACTATATGCCCAGAATACCATATTCGGCATAGCATATTTTGGAGAAGGTGTCAAAAGAACCTGAAGTATATTATTTATGCTATAATCTGTTGCCCTCAAAAGGCTTTAAAGTATTATTTACATTTTGTTTGATATGTACTCTTTAACGTTTATTAAACTTAAAAACATTTGAATGTACTATTATTTTTTATATACTTGAATTGTTCTCATATGTTAATTATATTTGTTAACTTTTGTTATTCCTTTTTTATAATTAACAATAATGAACTTAAAATGTTAATTTGTTGCTCTAGATAAGATAATTGAATTTGTTATACTACTTATATCTAATTTTGTATTTGATTTTATATTTTGCACTACCGTTGCAAGGTGGGCGGTATGTTTGTGTCTGTCTAGTGTAACACATAGTTTATATTTTCTCTATGTGTAAAATCGCTAGAACAATATGCATTGTATGGCAACTCCCCACTTTAGTGTGGTGAGTTTGCGTTGCTCTTTATGTCAAAGGGCTTGACACATTTTTTTTTATTCTCATTGCTTTTCAACCACCGGACAGACAACAAATGCAAAATTAATAAAAGAAATTGAAATAAAATAAAAGTTTAAGAATTAAAATAAAATTAAAGTTTAATTAAATAAAAACAAAAGGAAAAGTGAACTTAAATAAAATAAACAGAAATACAAACCAAAAGAAGTAAACAAAGCTTTTTAATAAAATAAAAATAAGGGTTGTTTTTTGGCAACACAACAACAAGTGTTTGTGTGTATATAAAAACACATTTGGCCCTGACCTGCCGCATCAAGAGAAAACCAAGTGGACGGCTGCCGGAGACAGTTTGCCAACAACCAGCACCTAGGAACCAGCTCAGCATCTAAGAGGTAATAACCGGGATTCCCGATTTGGCCCCAAACACTATTCATAACTGGTGTAGGGTATCATATGGTCGGTCACGCCCGACTATACTTTCTTACTTGTTTTATTTAAAAATTTAAAAATAATTATTATTTTCGGTCCCTGAAAATGACTTTTATCGAATTTCATCGCTATACTCGTATTTTTAAGCCAGTAATGAGCGTTAAGTCATTTTCTGAAGGGAACCTTATATGAGGGTTAGGGTCGATTATGGACCACATAAAATTTAGTAGAGAGATTTTGGCTCGCGAGGAACTTATTTGTGTCGAATTTCATTGCTATACTTTATTATTTAGCCAGAAAAGAGCTTTGAAATAATTTTCTGAAGGGGTCCATATATGGGGGGTAGGGTCATTTATGTACCGATTCTCCAAAAAGAGAGGTTTTGGCTCGCATAAAACTTATGTGTGTCGAATTTTATCGCTTTACTCGTATTTGTAAGCCAGTAATGAGGGTTAAAGTAATTTTCTGAAGTGGACCTTCTATGGGCGGTAGGGTCAATTATGGACCAATTCTCATAGATTATACATAGATTTTGGTTGGCATAGAACTTATGTGTATCGAACTTTATCACTGTATTCATATTTTAAAGCCATTAATGATATTTCGATGTGTTACAAACGGAATGACAAAATCAATCATCATCAAAAAAGATGGGGTATAACAAGTAAGAAGCCTATATTCGCCTTTGCCGACTCTTATATACCCTTCACCATCATCATACCATACCCTTCAAAATATTAACAAGTTAGAGTGCTATATTCGGCTGAGCCGAATCTTAAATACCCTCCACCAGCTATTTTTATAGTAATACTTTTTTATTTGATCAAATATTTGTAGAAATGAGTTTTCTCATGTCTTAAATAGAAAAACCCCAAGATTTAAACAGCTTTAAATCTTTTATATTTTTATAGCGTCCTAAGATATGCTTTAACGATATTTAATAATGTGCATGTATGCATGTGTGTGAAAGATTTAAGGATTTTCAAAATACATATATATAATTTTGTTCTACACAAATTGATAATGCAATTACTTAAATACGGTTAAATTGCTTTTAGGGGCATGACTTAGTATGGGAGATATGACCAATTATAAACCGATCGTAAAAAATTCTTTAACCAAAATTTCTGTACATAAAAGCTATATTTCATTCAAATTTTGTATCTATATCGTAATTTAGTAATAAGTAATGTGTGTTCAAGTGATTTTCTGAAGGGACATTTGCATGGGACCGACCGCACCCATGTTATGGACCGATCGTGAAAAAATCTTGAAATAGAATTTTTGTATACCAAACTAATATTTGTGCCAAATTTTGTATCAATAGCTTTATTTGGTAATGAGTAATGTGCGTTTAAGAGATTTTCTCGTAAAGGCGCTATGACCAATTATGTATATAAAGACAAAATTTCAAAATTCTGTACCTATATCATTATTTGGCAATGAATATTGTGCATTTAAGTGATTTTCTGGAGGGAACCTAGTATGAGAGCTATGACCAAATATGGACCGATCGAAAACAATTGTATGGTGTAATTTATGTATATTAGAGCAATATTTGTGCTAAATGTATGGACATCAATATTTTTTAATGAGTTATGTGCGTTTAAGTGATTATCGGAAGTGGACCTTGTATGGGAGCTATGAACAATTATGGACCGATCGGAAAAAAATTTCACAGTAATTTTTCTGTGCATATGAGCAATACTTGTAACAAATTTATATGGATATTAGGGTGATCGACTCGATTTTTCATCGGTTTTTTTCTGCTTTACCAGTGTCGGTTTTTTCTTAATGCTGATTTTTCGAATATCGAATAACCCGGTTTTTTCACTTTTTAAAAACCGGTTTCGAATACTTTTATTTGCTTTGTATTCAAAGATTATTTAAATTAAATTTTTAAGTAAATCATAATACAGCCCGTCTAAATTTTAAAAATATTCGAGTCGAGGAACTAGCGTATACTTTTCTAAAGCTCTGTTGGTTAAACTTTTTTGATTTTCCTAATTAATTAAAAAAAAAATATTTGTAAAATTGATAACTGTTTGATAAAATTTTATCAATCTTAAGATTATATTCCAAGTACAATAATTCATTTACGGCTGAAATTTTATGGAAGTGTTGGAATGCCTATGCAAATTTTCTAAACAGGGCTTTTATAATAAGCTAGGATTACATAGTACCTTATGTTTAACAGAAGTGTCCCACTTTTTTCCAATTTTTTTTTTATATTAAAGAAATAATGTAAATCAGACGACTAGATCTAAAGTTATAATCTTTTAAACTGTTAAAAATCATTTCGGGCCATGTTTTATTAATCAAATTTATTTTTTATTTATAATGAAAAACCGGTTAACCGGTTTTTTTTGAATTTGAAAAATATCAACCGGTTTTTTTAATGTCAACTATTCGAACTATTCGAAAACCGGTTTATGGAAAATGTCGAATAATCGATCACCCTAATGGATATCTTAATTTCGTAATGAGTTATGCGCGTTTAAGTGATTTTCGGGAAGAGACCTTGTATGGGAGCTATGATCAATTATGGACCGATCAGAAAAAATAATCGTAAAGTAATTAAAATTTATACACAAAATTGATATTATACACATCATGCCGAATTTTATCCCGATAACTTTATTAATCAATGAATTATCCGCATTTGAGTGATTTTCGGACGTGGACCTTATATGGGAGCTATGACCGATTATGGACCGATCCGGAACAAATTTCGTAGAGTAATTCATATACACACAAATCACATTCATGTCGAATTTTATCCAGATAGCTTAATTTATCTATGAATTATGCTCGTTTCAGTGATTTTCTGATGTGAACCTTATATGGGAGCTATGACCAATTATGGACCGATCCGGAAAAAAATTCCGTAGAATGATTTATGTATATACAAAACATATTCATGTTGAATTTTATCCCGATAGCTTTATTTATCAATAAAATATGTTCATTTAAGTGATTTTCGAAAGTGGATCTTATATGGGAACTATGACCAGTTGTGGACCGATACAGATCTAAGTCCGTAGTTTTGATTCCTGTTCATGTAATGTCAATATGTACAAAATTTTGTGTTGATACCGATATATTTGAGGAAGTTATTAACGATAAATTAATTTCCGGGAATATGTACCTTTGTATGAGGCTATGGGAAATTTTGGATCGATTGTTACAATTTTAAACATAATTAATCTATAGACGGAAAAAATAATCTGTGACAAAATTTGTCGAATTATCTTTGGTAGTTTCTGAGAAAACTACTCAAGAATTAGGGAAAAAAACTTAATTTTTTTTTTGGTAGTCTGAAATTTTTACTCATAACTTTTTACGTTGTGAAGCGATTTTGCTGATTTTCAACA